GAAAGAGTCTGGCACGGGAAGAATGCACCAAGCAAGGCAAGAAAAAATGCCAAACCTGCCACATATGCAAGGGCATAAAAGCCACTACTCACACAAATGACACTCTGTAGAGAAAAACATTGAGCTTCCTAATGCTCCCACCACTCTCACATTTCTCTTTTCAGCCCAACCAAGACAGTAAAATGCTCCCTTTATTGCTGACAAGAGTCTGAGACATGTCCTGCTTTCCATTGCTGTACCCGTCATATAACATAGGAGTTATTTTTCTTTTCAGGGCTTGTAAAAGAAGGCAGTTCCTAGGCTTGTTAAGGAAGATCTGCTGATGCTCACCTCCCAGGTCACAGATCTGCCTGAAAGGGGAAAGGTCAAATGCAGCAAGAACATCTCTGCCACATATACTCCACACTGAGTTCTGGCCAGCCATGAATTTCAGCATTTCTTTCCAGCATTTCAGCATTAGTTCAATTTGGACACATTCATTTTTATATCCTTCTTATATTGTGGAGCCCAAAACTGTGCACAGTGCTCAAGGTGAGGCCACACCAGTGCTGAGTATAGTGGGACGATGACGGCTTTCAACAGGTTAGCTATACTGTGTTTAATACACCCCATGATACAGTTGGCCATTTTGGCCACCAGGGTATATTGTTGACTCACACTGACCTTACCATTCACCAAAACCCTCAGATCCCTTTCTGCAGGACTGCACTCAAGCCTCTTGTACCCCAATCTGTAAGTAATCCAGGGTTACACTGTCCCAGGTATACCATCTGGCACTTATCCTTGTTAAATTGCATATGGCTGGAAATTTCCTAGTGCTCTAATCTGTCAAGATCTCTCTGTAAAGCCTCTCCACCCTTGAGGGAATCAATGGTGCCTCCTAATTTAGTATTGTCAGCAATCTAATTTAGTATCGTCGGCAAATGACTGGGTAACGTCCATCAGAGGGAAGACTCTTTTACCTTCAGTAAGAACAGGGTTGAGATTACTTCTCTAAAACATGACATGAATTTTGAAAGCATTGTAGACGGTAAATGAGGAAAATTAAAACAAATTGAATAGAGGAATTTTATGCAAACGCACATACACACAGGAAAACAACATCAACAAACATTAAAGAAATTGAAACTACTGCCTGTCTGCCTTAATGATATGCTGTCTGGGAGACAGTCATTATACCACATTCTGTATTCACAGTCCCTTCCATCTGATGGGACATAATATACTGATGTTATCAAATTCAGCCTGCTGCGTGGTGAATTTGGGAAGGGAGGAAGATATTTGAAAAATCTTGTTCTTTGCATGGTATGACAGGGGGAGAAAAAAGCAATTGAAGTTTCTCAAACTCCAAAAATGAAAAGTGGAAAGAAATCCCACCATCAAAAGAACCTTCCACATTTGAGGCAGTCAGCCAGTAAGCTCTCAGCTATAAACGCCTGTGTTTCTAAACCTTCACATAGAGACAACATCTACTTGTCTAAGCCTCCAAAGGTCAGAGTGGTCTCAATAAATGAGGGATCCATCCTGTGGGCCAGGTCTGCCTTAGGTATTTTTCCTTTTAGACTTCTGTCATGCCTACTCCAAGTTTAAAGTCAGTGTATTATTAGGATGCTTTATTATGAACTGTTTTCTTCTCAGAGACATTAAGCAAGGCCCTTGAGCATTCCAGTCTCAGACGTCTATCCAAGACTGAGTTATATTCCTTACCTTTGAGACTAAAAATCCACTGCTGTATTGCAAGATGATTTGAGGGTAGTCAAGGTCTTCCGTGGAAACCATCTTCTTTCTGGACTGAGGCACAGATTCTCTGCTCCTCTTAATTTAAATAAGCTTCTTTCCATCAGGCACAGAGTACACACCAGATGATCCACTTAATCTTATTCCTTCTGAGAAACACACTGGTTACAAAACATGCTAGCTAAGTTATTTGGCTTCAATGGGTCTTTCTACCAGGTTCACCTGTTTCTTTGGCTCTTCCATCAACAAGGCTAAAGAAGCAGTGCGGATTAAAGCTTGTACCGTCAGTTCAGCAGTCGGTTAACCCCCTGGTGCTTCAGAAGCACTTGGGAGCTTGTCACGAGCTTGTAACAAGAAATCACTACAGAACAGCGTCAGGAACCTGAACTCGGTGCAATGCACCAGCGTTCCTAAACCAAAGCGGGGTCTTACCTGGGGCTTGTTCAAAAGCAGCTCTACTCCAGCAGGCTGGGATTTTGATGCTGGAAGACTTTCCAAAAAGAAACAGGAGACAGCAGGGGATAGATTTTAATAAGAAGAAAAGACAATCTGTATTGATCAGGCGCGCAGCTTGGCCAGACAGGCATACTGACCAGCAGCTTGCAAAACATGACCAATACATTTTATCTCACCTCCTCTCCAATTCCCCAGGCTTGTTCTTCCCCTGTCTGCCTTGATTCCTCCCTTCTCCTGCTTTTGGCCCTGTCTCTAAATACTGTAGATTTCCCACAAGCCCCATAGTAAGGTTCCCACAGTAACTCCCACAAGCCCACTTTAATTTCCTGTGATATTTGTTCTCTCTTATAAGCCCCCTGATAATCTTGTTTCTTCTCTTTTCTCCACTACAAAGATCTGGTTGAACCTCTTTGTGGCTTTGAGGGCATCCTTTGAGGGTCCCCCACTGAGTGGCCAGGGAGTTCTGATGTTTGGCAATGTTTTCCTCAACGTCTGTTTGCTAGCATTTGTGTACCTGGGTGTGGTTCCTTACTGCTTCCCTCTCTTGCCTTTGCCTTAACCAGCTATCTCAAAACTGAGGTATCCTTACATTATGAGTATCTACATACCCTTAACATTCAAAATATCCTAATATATACAACTCGGAAACAGCACCTGTTTCCCAGGTTCTAACACCACAGGGTCTCCTGTGTTACCAGAGTACTAGGTCTGAACATACAAAAGCTAGACCAA